GAGTTGCTGCCAAGTGTTTATCTGTGTTTTTGGCAGTGCTGAGCAGTCTTTTAACCCTCGGCTGACTGGTTGGGGGGTGTGAGTCGGACGGGGGACAGAACAGACCCCACTGTCTTCCCTCTTCCTCTTCCTCCTCCTCTGTGCAAACCCTCCTCCCTTCTAGCACTGAAGCTGTTCCCTAGTTGGGTCATGAAACTTCTGCAGGAAAACATCCAAGCTACAGAGAACAGCAAGGGTCTTTCATTTCAACCCTGAGCTACACATACTCTCCTAAATTGCTTAAAATTACACAATCCCAACATCCTTCAAGCCCGACTGCTCAGGATTGTGGTGTGGGGAGCAACGGGGATCTTCCCCAGCTCTACCCTGCCAGTTGAAGGGTGGCACCCCACCTTCCCTTCCCCTCCCACCCAGAGGGGCCCCTGTCCAAGCCTCCTACCTCCCACTCACAGTGTGAGTGCGCCCGGGTGCTCCTTCCTCGCCCTCAACCGCCCAGCTGGTCCAAGAGACTCTGCACGTTGTCCGTGAACTCGTTTCGCGTCTTCTCGCCCCCCACCAGTTTCACAGGGCGCAAGCAGGGGTGGGGGGCCTCCGGGTTTCTGGGGCACCAGACATTGCAGAGGAAGAACCAGATGGCATCCGGGTCAACCTCCGTCAGGCGAAGGAAAACACTGCAAAAAGCGGAAGGGGAGAAAAGGGCTGCGGATGACAAGCAAGGCCAGGGCCCAGCTCCTTGGACTCTGTTTTATCTTAATTTAACATTTTATCGCATATATTATATTATCTACATGTCATATATATATATATATATTTGCTGATGCTTTATTTAAACTCATATCTGTGTATCAGGGATTGCATGACCTCAGTAGGCGCCACACGCCAAATAAATAGAAATCTGTTCTCGAAACATGTTAAGCTTCATTAATTTTTGGTGCAGCTCCATATCTTGTGCAAATCCAATATGCATTATTAAGTTTATGAGTTCATGTCTTAGGACAGTGGTGGCGAACCCATGGCCCGGGTGCCAGAGGTGGCACTCAGAGCCCTCTCTGAGGGCCCGCGCGCCATCGCCCCAGTCCTAGGCCTTCAGCTGGGTTTTATAAAACCTTTTCGCTTTAGGCCTCCGCCACCGTGTGCAAAAAAAAAAAAAAAAAAGGTTCAATCAATTTCAACTTCTCGCGGGGGGGGGGAAGAGATCTTGCAAAGTTGGAATTGATTGATTGAACTGTTTAGTCCCACCCAGTCTGCCGTTACCACCGCAGCCACACCCACCCAATGGGCCACACCCACCCAATGGGCCACGCCCACCCAGCACCCGACGATGCATAAGTGGGTTTTGGGTTTTGAGGGAGGGGCTCTGGGCAGCATACAATTTAACCGATAACAATAAAAGATGAAAAACTGAGTAACTGAAGATTAATTTAAGTAGTTTAAGACAGCCCTTTGTCTGAAATGGTATAGGGTTTCCTGCCTGAGCAGGGGGTTGGACTAGATGACCTCCAAGGTCCCTTCCATCTTCTTCTTCTTCTTCTTCTTCTTCTTCTTCTTCT